AAAATTTATTGTTTTTATTATCGCATATAGCATCTTTGAATATTTAAAGATCCTGAGAAATATCGTTATCAGTTCATAGGAGAATGTCACATGGCTATGTTATTAAAATGTAAACGAAGAATTCGCGCTCACCTTAAGAGAACATGCGGACGTGTTTTTAGTGTCATTTTATTTAAAAACATATGCAATGCTGGCGGTTGCATTACGCGTATCCCAATAGTCTCTTTCGTGAAATAATCATGTACATGGAAACACTTCCACGTGCATAGTTGAGAAGGACGAGTTTCAAATGGTTATCGTATGCATACGAACAGCATTTATTTTCTAGTCGTTTGCATATTGTCATTTCGAAGTAGAAAAACATGTTACAGTTTTGCAACAATTAATAAAACGTAACTTTGTATTGATAGCATCATCTTAAATGAGCTAAACCTGAATCGCAAGTGCTTGATCTTAATTTTCTCTTTCATATATCTTTTCAGCATGTTCGTATCTATATACATACATATAGGAAGATAAAAAATTTTAACAAAGTAAAACAATTATTTTTGTTTCTCAATATAATTCTCCTTTATTCCTGTACATTTTTTGAAACGATAAATTAATTTTTCTCTAAAAATTCACAAAAAAATATTTTGAATTTTTGTTCTTAAAATGTTTTAACACAGAGAGATCACTTCTTCATTATTCGCTTTACATCTCCGATTTTTTGTTCCTCTATAGTGATTATTTTTTTATTTTTAAAATTGAAAACCGTTTGCGTGAAAACAATTTACTAGTAATAAAAAATTATTTCCAAAAATTATTTTAGTGAGAAACTATGACAAAAATTCAGAATATTTTTAGGCATATAGAAAAATGTATATATCATTATACAAAATGTATTGAAATAAAAAATATATTAAAAAATATAAAAAATAATTTTTTATTTTGTCATCCTTTTTATATCCTTGGGCTGAAAGTTTTTGGGCTTTATTTTTATATATATTGAGTACTTTAATCAAGAAAATATTGGATCAAATCTATCATTATATTATTTATTAATAAATTTTTTCCCCGTGAATAATCTGTGGTACCAAGCCAATCATACATTTTAATTAATTTCCTTAATATTCAAAATATCTTATTTTTCTCTCCACTTCGTTAATTGACGGAATTTGTTCGAATTTCTGCAAGCGTTGAAAATCGATCAGACATATCTGCTGTGATATCGACGCGCTGTCGATTCTAATTTTATCCGATAAATGCATTTCATTCTCTCTGTACAAACGATGGAAGGTTAAAGACCTTTTCTCTGACAATTATTTTCACGAACCTGTTACGCTCGATGCCCGTAAGTCTGTCCATGACAGGATAACTTCGCTATTTGGTGATAATAGCGGCCGACCGGGAAACAAACGAGAAATCGATTTGAATTATTAAGGTAGAGGAAATATGACGAGACGACATGGGTATCGATAGAGTAAAGCGAAATACAATTATATCCGTTTACCGGTATGGGATCGGGAAAATACCGTTACGCGCGTAATTAACGACGCAGATTGATCCTGCGTTTGTACGCGCTTTTACACGTGGATATGCGGGAGAAACACACAGCCCCATCTCCGTGAAAAACACACACGCATGCGAGTTTACAAAATAGGCGCATCCGGGCGTGTGAATTTACCGGCTTGATGTCGCTCGTTAACGATCGCTCGAGATTTGTGCGCGCGATTTTCACCGATGATCCATTTGACCCGCGGCGTGGATTATCGTCGACGGTCGGTGTCTGCCACGTATTTTCATCGTCACTGGTATATACGAGCGTAATGAACGTGGACGTGTGCAACGAGGAAGATTGATTTGACGGATATGACGACTTAGTAATATGCCCGAGCCCACGATGGCCGTTTTATTAAAAGCCCGGCGCAGGTGTAAAACCAGACTTATCTACCATGAAAACGAAGAATTTGCACATCAAGGCTAATATCATTTTAACGGTGTTAGTTTCTTATGCGTAAACTCGTATAAAAATGGTATTCTCTGTATATTGTTGCGTGAAACATTCGATTTTTTGATAGCGTTATTTGATTGATATTACTCATACTAATAATAATAATAATTATTATTATTATTATTATTTTAATATAAATAATTATTACCATTAAATGACACATATTAATATTACATAACACATCGTTAATAATAGTAATAATTACTATTTCGATAGAAATAATAATTAGAAATAATATAATATTATTAGCACTTATTGAAGTGTTACATAATATTTACATATTATTTTTATTAAAATAATTATTATTAATATATTAATGATTATTATAGAGCAAGTGACACTATAAGAATATGACGAATATAATATAATATTATTTGCGTTTGACGGAAATTATGAATGTGGGAAAGATAGTCTTTATTATATTCTTTGTTACAATATGCGAAATAATTAGTAAGTATAAATAGGAAATTTCTGAGACTTCTGAAACATTTATACTAAGAAAGAACGAAATAGAATTAGTCAAATGTCTTTTTTTGTCTTTCTTTTAATATGCCATGGAAAATATAGGTTGAGAAGCTCTATACCTTTTCATTAAATCATTGAGAATTCAGTAGATAAGTTATTAGCTCGGAGAATTTCTTATTATGGTAATTTCATAATCTATAATTTATACGTATACATCTGAGATCCAGAGAATTCAAATTAGTTACAGTTTATATAGTATATGATAATTTTCTGAATAACACCGCCGAGAGACTGTGCACATGTTTTATTTTTTAAGATAATTATGATGATAGAGAATCAATAATATCAATAATGTCCTAACTCAAAATTGCAATGTGAATATAATAAAATTGATAGGAAGGTCAAATAAACGAGCACTTAATTAGGTCAAAGATTGAAATTAGTTATTCATTAATATATAACGTGTATCGAACGTTTCAATTATACCGTCTTTTTCCAAGCCAATTAACAATAGAAAAAAAAAATTTAGGGTTTGGAAACAAATGATAGAAAAATTTCGTCAACGCCATTTTTGATAGTCGGTTACGCCTGCGTTTCTACAAAACAAGCAGAAAGAAAAACGTAATTTTATTACACCGCGAGAAGAATCCCGAGTAAATGGATCAATGCCAATCGCAAGCGTTCTCGTTTCGCAAAGCGCGAAAGAAAAATTCATTTTCGGACGAACGTTTGTCATCGGAACCGCTGATGCGCTGGGAGCAGTCGCGGAATTAGCTTTGTGACGCACTCGCGAACGCACTATTGCATTCCGGTCATAGCAGTCGAGGCATGCACTACTACGAACGCGACGTATGCATTGAAAGGGTAGGAAAAATAGCGCGATCGATGGTCCTGTCGAAAGGTCGCAATCCCGCAGATACTAAAACAATCGTTCTTCAAAAACCGAGCACATCATCTCCGTCTTGGCAGTCGCACCGGAAAGGTCGCGCGCGAAAACTAGTTTCGTTCCGGACTTCGCCAAACTAGTTTACGCGGAAGTCTGTCGGACGAGTGCATATTGTCGCGCTTAATAACTTCTGCATAATTTACCAACGAGAGAGAAAGAGAGAAAGAGAAGAGACATCGCCGATGGCGTGGAAACGCTGGTACCGCTTGGGCCAACGGATGTCATCGTCGGTGTGATCAACCGCCCTCGTCGAGAACCCCGAAAGTCGACCTTTCGCGATGGTGATGGGGCGTTACACAACGTAACGCCCGTACAACCGCGTAAATTAACTTTAAGCACGGTTTCGAGATCCTGAGTTTGTAATTCGAGTTACGGCACGCTTTGCATTTTAAGTACCACGCCCGTACGGGGCTATCGTCGAAACGACTCGGTCACGATTATTCCCAAGCAGGAGTAAGTATTTTTCGTATCCACTGTTGCTAGAATTTCCCCGGATTGCCGAGGAATATCATGGGTCACGTTCAGAAAATTTTAATTAACATACAGTGTTCACGCGACTTTGTTTATCTTTCGAACTTCGTGATTCCGCTGAGATCTATCAACAGATAAATGTTTTGTCATTTTCGTCTCATGTTTGAAAAAATAAACAGATTATTCGTTGTATCGAATAATACACGGAAAAATGTAAGATCTTATGTTACATTGTAAAATTAGATACGAAATTACACTTCTTGTATACATTGCATTAGTAGAGATTAAAAGATGAAAATTGAAGAGAAGTAGAGGTCTTACTTTTAGGACTCTTACTTTTTACTGCCGACTAAAATTTTATTTCAAAATAATTTTCGTATCTTGTCTTTCGAGAAAAAACAACAATTTTCAAACATTTCTTGTTATTTTCTTATTAAAAAAAAAAATACAACATAAATCAGTTGGAAGTGCATTAACATGTTAGAGTTGTCAGATTCTCGGCGGCAAAATCATTAAATCAAACTTATTCAAATTATCGCAAGACGCTTCTTGTGATTGAAATTATCGTTTCGCTAAATGAGATGGAAAAAGGAAACAGAGAGAAGAACAGGCGCTAAAACTATAAATTGTCATTAAAAAAAAAACACGTATTCGTTGTATCCATGTCTCGTAGTCGGTTAATTCTGTTGTTAAGAAAAATTATTGCGACGTGAGTGCTACGAGTAAAATTGGAAGTAAGAAACTAGAGCTCTAGATTTAAACAAATAGCGCAAATTATCGTCATTTTTTATGACCTAATAATCTATCATTAAATTAAAGAATATTTTTTTTTACTGTGATTGTGAATTACTCATTGAACGACATATACAAATCGACACAAACATCATTCTACCTTTCTTAAGAAAATATCAATCCTAATATTAAGAAGTGACAAAAAGAGAAGGATACTTATGTTAACTTCTGTCAACAAATGCAATAGAAAGAACCGACATTCTCAGATAAAAGAAATGTGCGCTACTCTTATTAATGTCTGGAGCTCCAATAAAGCGTCTCTATTTTTAATTTTTCGATTTAGACGGACTTAGATAAAACTTTTCGATCATACATCATCATATTTTGACTTACAAGTGACGATCAGATGAGCGCTGGCGCGGATTGGTTTGACCCGCAGATATCGTCCGACTTGACACTCGTACTCGCCGTCGTCGGTCAGAGACGCGTCGGTAATTTTCAGGTTGAAAATACCGGCGTTCTGATCGCCGATCAATTTCAACCTGGGATGGCCCACGATTTCGCCGTCTGTAACATCAATTCGGGATCATTATGCGTTGAGTTACATCACTATGCGTTCGGAATTAATAATCAATTGATGGAAATTAGACAATCGATTAACATTTTCCGCCCCTTGGCTAAGAAGTGTTGTGCGCGGATATGCGGCTAATATATCGGCTTTAATTTTAGCTCTGTTTATTAGCGCTTATTCGATCGGTATATGAGCACTCTCGGCAAAACGATGCGATTACGATAGGCGGAAGCCGATGAGACCGCTGAGTAATTAACCACTCGCCGTTGATAGTCTCGCTCTTGGACGAGATTCTTTACAGTCATGCTTAAACGATAAATCCACAACGTTACTATCTATATTCTTTAATTAAGCTCGTAAAAATTGTAGATATATACATATAAAGTGCAGAAGAGAGATAAATTTCAAAATTTTCTTGTTATCTTAATCCTGTATTTTATCCGTATTAGATGATGTTCTGCAAGATTGTTTAATTTTAAACGTTCTGAAAATTATTAACAAATATCCAACAGTTCAAAATAATATTTAGGCTAATCGATAAATCGAAAAGAATACTACTAAGAGAATATTAAAATATTTTACTCATAAGTAGGAATTTATTATGAAATAGTTATAGTGTATCTGAAAATTGAATGAAAAACGTCACATATTTTTTAATAGTTTAATGACACAAAATATTCTGCATTTAGTATATGTGTTTGATATTTTTTTCTTTTATCTAGAAAATTCTATAAAAAATTGACTTAAAAAAAATTAAAATTCTTTTCTAACAAAATTTCAGTGATATATCAAGTTTAAAATATAATGTAAAAAATAGACTTTATACCTCGTATACGTGTTTGTGGGTTGCGTGTAATCGTAACGTATACAGCGCAGCGTTGTAAATTTGTGGGAATAGAAAATAGCGCGGATAACATTGGTTCTCGATTAGCACGTTAATGTGTTTCCAAAAATTCCCGTGTAAAACAATCCCTCGTAAAGCGAAAACCCAATTTCCTATTGAAAATATAAGCAGCTTTTGTGCGTGATTTTAATTGGTGGATTTAGACAGGAACGCGGGTTTTCCCGCGGCGTTAATTGTACAAACACAGGATTACCTGTCTTTACCGAATTTAACAAGCACAGTTTACTCTGTATGCATTTTATCTTTGTTGTTATTGAAACATTTATGTTATATCAAATAATTTTTCAGATCATTCTCTTTTTAAGTGGATTTATCAGAGACCATAGCGAATGTTACAGACAGATAAATATCATTCTGCAAACAAATATAACTTCAAATTTTTCTTATATGTATACTATACATATACATGGTATTACAAAATTCACGTCCATAGTCTATATCTATGCATTACATTTTGAAAATATGATTTCGAACTCATGTTTTTCTGATGAAAACGTATTAGTCGTCTTTATTATATTTTTCCAATACTTTTATATTTCACGCTTTTCAAGATTCGAAGTGTTAATACCAGGTAAAAAGTGGTTTAATCAGTTTTCTCTGATGATGGGTAATTGGCGCTCAATTGAGGTGGTTAAAGAGGAAATCAGAAAGTAATGATCCTTCTTCAATACATACATAATGCCGTACCATAAATCTTAAATTAAATTCCACTGAATTTTGAAATCTAATTTTTGAAAAGTAATAAATAATTAAACGTAAGAATAACATTTTTCTAGCTATTGATATTTGAAAATTTTTTCATTCATTCTGAATATCTCATAATTAAACATTCTGATACACATCGATATTTTTATGGAAAAAAAAAACTTCCTCCTCAAGCAGTGAATTTGTGATTTCTCCAGAAGATGACATTTGAGAAAAGAACAGTCACGATGATCAAACTTGTATTTCAATTTATTATACTCACTCTGCTGTATGACATAAGCAAATCCGTCTTTGACCCATTGGACGGTACCGACTCGGTTCCCCACCTCGCAAAAAATTGTCACCTCGCCGCCTTCCAGCACGGAGCTATTGCTCGGCCTGACCCGAAAGTATTGTCCCTCGCCTGTAACAGAAAGATAAAAATGATTTCGATTCGGAAGCTGTGCTTCTTCGAGCGGACGATAAGCTCGCGTGTTTCCGCGTGCCATCGCTTTACGAACGGTTTTGTTCGCTCGACAGGATAAAGTGAAGTAGGGTGATGTGCCGTAGACTATAAAATTACGTTTACACCACGTTTTTCTCCCTTCAGAAATCGTCTGCGTGAGATTTATGTATATCTATGCACATGAAGAAACATTGTGAGTCGATGACTGATTTTATGATGAATATTTCGATAAATGTTCGGATAAGATAAAAGCTCTTTTATCTTAGATCTTCTATCTTAGGGGTGTTCAAAACTAACAATTTCCTTATATACTCGTTCATCACTTTTTTTTAGAAGGTAAAATAACGAGCGGCCAATTAATGGCAAAAGGTATAAGCGTAAAAACGAATCCAGTTACATATCCGTAACTTCAGAATCGATAACTGCGTGATGGTTAATAACCGTGCGGGTATCCAGCATTTATCGCGCGCGACGGCAAATCCACTTCCGATTCCGTCATTCGCTCGTAATACACGACTTTACGTTCAGTTGCATCGATCGTCTTGGCTAATTAACTGTAATTGTATATTACGCGGTCTTTTTTTGCTTCGTAGCGCTGATTATCACCCGGGGAAGAGTTTCATGTATCGACTGTGATGCCCCACGTTGGTGTAACCGTTCAAGTGCTCGTGCTAAGTTTGTTGAGAACTGAACTATCTCCCAGCCCGGTATAATTTCTCATTTTTAGCGAACGATAGTGAGGTTCTAATTGCTTCTTATTGAGCATCGTAAAGATGCAGCCCTATGCCAATACAGATCGATTAGGCGCGCTAGCGAAGCAACGAGAGAGCACAATAATTATGCCGATAATGTCGGCGATCACGCAAACCGCCACTAAGCTCTCCGATACCGCTGCTGGAAGAATCAAGGTAATCAGACGGGTTTGGTTTCGATACGATCGATAATCCCTATGCCGCATGGTATTCCACGTCTGTACCGCACCACGGTACCGCATGTATCACGCACGAGATCGGGCTGCGTTATACGCATTACACGCGAGTATTTGTCCCTTTGTTCCGTGTCGCCGCGTTAAAAGTAAATTCACACGATTCGTGTAGTGTTGATGACACAGACCTGCTTGAATAAATTATATAATTGCGCCAATGCAATGATGTAAATAATAATTTGAGAAATTATCATTTGGATTACGATAAATAATAGAATTATATAAAATCTAAGACATAATGTTTTGCTTCCTGATCACTATTCACATTTCTGTGGTCACATTTCTCTCTCTTTTTTTTATCAGCTTAAAAATATTCGTATATTCATTTTGACATATAAAATATACATATAAAACTATTAAATATGTATCTTTCAACAACTTTTCCATATGGCGGCTTATCATGAAAAATTGATACATATATTGCAGCAAAAATGGAAGGATTGATACAGGCTATGTAAAGTGATTTACAATTGAATTTGTATTGAAAACGGCATAGTTCACGACTTTTTTTTGGCTAAATTGGATCAACAATGCTTTTCAATGCCTCAACTCTCTACTCGTATTTGTCTGAAAGGGACATGCATTTATCATTTATCATTGCAGTGATACATGCTCTCGTGAATCTTGTGTTAGTTTTGAAAATGGTACATATTATAAATTATCGCTATTAATTTCATTTCAGTGTAAAAATGATGAGACATTTTTTTATCAGTTAGTTTTTATTGCAAAATAAAAGAGCACGTTCCTGCAACGATTCTATAGATTTCCATTCTATTAAACGTATTTTAATATTGATTTTACAGTATCTCAGAAACAACGACGTAAGATTAAATTTTTTATTTTGAAAATATAAAAAGTTTTTAATATTAAATAAATAAATACACGTAGCAAATTTCTCACGTAACAAAAAGGATTGTTGGTTAATTTAATGATCAATATGTAAACATCTTACGATACGTTAATAACATATAGTTATATGTATATATAATTTGTTTTCTGTTACAGTTCTGTAAGAGTTAATTTTCTCTAATACGAGTTTCACGCTTGCTATAAAATTGATTAAATTGCTTTCGTAGCCTAAACGAGTAACTTAATCATGTCGTTGTAAAAACCTGATGTATCGTAATCAGTAGTGTCTGTCAAACACGAACAAATCCTTTGCGTTCCTCGTGCCTGTATTTTTCAAAACAAGATTAATTTTCATGAAACGGATTGCATTTACTAGTGGATTTGCGATGACGCGCTTAAGCGAAAATTCATTCGTGCAATACGCATACGCATACGCACTTGGGATGATTCATCCAGGATGATCGTCCAGAGCGAACCGTGTAAATTGGGTTTCAAGCGGTCGCCTAGTCTGGTCCGAATTTACGCAATCCCGCCGTCCAAATGCAACGTCAATAAAATATAGGTGAGTCGACCAACCGAGGTCTAAACGCGATTCGACTGGCGTCGTTTAATTTTGTAGCACAGACCAACCAGTCGACACTCCGATTCGTCCAAAGGGATTCAATGATTGGGCGCGATTGTGGAGAACGGATTAAAACGACGCTAGCCAGCCGCGGTCGGCGAACGAGAGTTCGAAAACAAACGAGGGACGAGAGATACGAAAATAAAGTTTATAATTGAGTCCACATCGCGGGTTCTGGCATTATCCGAATAAAAATTTCATTTAGGCAAAGGGCTTGGATAAGTGAAAAAAAAAAAAAATTAACTTCATCTCCACCTGCGCGGGATAAATGTTTCATTCGAATGGGAATTTATTTGAAGTTAAAATCTATCTGTGTGACTCTTTATGTAATTATAAAATATATACTTTTGATCACTCAACAGATTATTTATTATTATCACAAATATTTTTTCATATTAGTTTGGTGATTTAAAAAAATTATTGTTCAAATCTGCGAATAATTTTTCATTGAACACAGGTAGAAACAGCGGTAAAATTAAATGAGAAAGAGGATGAAATTAAACTTTTAGATTATACTCTAAGCAAGCAATATAAATTTAATTAATTTTAATTAGATTTCGCTCGTTTTTTGCAACGCAAAAAGTATCTGTCGTTTCTTTTTACTTAATTAATTTTATTTAATTGAATTTATTTATTCAATATTAAAAGCTATATTTTTTACATTTCCACAAAACTTTGTCACTAAAAATCTTAAATCATTTTCACAATTCTCGATTTTTCCTTTCTCTTCTAACAAAAAAAGTAAATACCGGTAAATCTTTCTGAACGTGCTGATAGAACATAAATCGTTAAAAATATCGCAGCGTTATAACTATTTTATACTGCCACGAATGCATACAAAGCCGGCTTTAACAGCCGGAAAGACGATAAATAATTGTCACGGCAGCAAACACAAGCTCCGTGGACACGCAGAGCAAGCGTAACGTCGCGGCGTATATGTAACAACGTTTCGGCCGATTGCTTAAGTGAAATTTATCTTAATGCGCCAAAGCTTTCAGTGGGCTCTTAATTGACGCAGAGCGGAAAATGCGCGTAATCGGCCTAGAACGAAATAAACATCTCAGTCGAAGGAGAAAGAAAGAGAGGAAGGAAGAAAGAAAGAATAAAAAGCGATAGCAAATCTGCCGTATGAATTACGTGATTATCGGCTTCGCAACCTTTTTCTGTTCAGTCTGCATTGTGCTACACGCAACGCAGCTTTATGTACAACTGGTGCATTCTAATAAGAGTGCATTTTACATTCGAAGCCCGAAGAGCTTTCCGCGTATTTTCGCGTAAATTCGTTCTGGACAAAAAATGTCGAGCCATCAGCTGTTTTTGAATTATAAATTATTGCAGACGTCATCTGCATGCATGTGACAGATTTTCAGGAATTAATTTTCAGAACGAATAAAAATTGATCATAAAACACATCTCATGTTTAATTGAATTTAAATAGCGATTATGTGCGTCGATGTGATTTTCTTTTCGACTATTAGTCGCGAAAGTACCCGACAGACAAAATGATAGAAAATTTACCAGAAAATACGGAGTCGAAGAGATTTTTGCAAAGGGGAAAGTCGACTGTAAATTGGCGGAAGGACGAGAGGAAATGCATGGCGGAATCCGGTATATACATACATGTACATCCGGTATGTACGGCTTAGACTCTCCTGGTTTGTTTATTTCAGCATGAGCTCGGATTGAAAAAAAATCGCGTTTTCGTTCTTATTTCAGCTGCGCGAAAAATGTCGCATAATAGACGCATTGCGTCGTCCGTTTGCGTAAATTCTACGATTGATCACCGCACTGCTGATCAATTATTGAGCGCGCGCTATTTATCCGCATTGAAACATCGTTGCCATTGGCTTTCGTGAACCGTACATATTTACCTTTCCACCGTATTACCGGGCAATTCTATGTAGATCTCACTTCCTTCCCGCGCTCTCGGCCATTAGAATTTCAAGCGTGGATCCGACTCACGGAATTTTCGATAAAATCACTCTCCACTGTCCTTCTTACCGGTTCTTACACGAGAGATGGACTTGGCGTACTTCTTAAACCTTATTCATTGTTCGATCAGTTCGTCTTATCCACTTAAATGTTAGAGGCGATGGAAAAGACTCGATCTCGGCAACTCGGTAATTAAAAAAAGAATCAAAATTTGTATTCGAGTATCTAAGTAGAAATTAAATCACTTCTACGAACATGTTTTAACTATAATTTTGTTTTCAATTTTCTTATTATCAAAGACTCGATTGGAAAAAGGGATTAATTCAAAAAGTTCTGATGTTACAAAAAGAGGTACTCTTATGCTCGATTCTAACAACACGAATTTGCTCGTGACAATTGTATTCCCTGGTAGAAGCATTCATTCTCGAGACTGTCGTTAGTTCGAAATATCCTCGTGTTGTTCCGTTTATCACCCACCATCGCCAGCTAAATATTAACGTCGTTGAATTTGCAGGCATAACAAATTCCGCATTTCGTGCTTTCTTGTCTCGATCGGGTGGATTCTGTCAC